GCGCTGAAGACGGTGGTATGGCGGCCTTAGGCATGTCCGAGGAAAAGGCGAGGGCGTTATTGGAGTCTTTACAGTTAAGCCACAAGCTCGACATAGCCGCAGTGAATGATGCAGACAGTGTTACTGTGGCTGGAGAATCCCAATCAATTGAAATTCTCGGTCAACATCTGGCAGTGTATGCAAGAGATATCTTCTGGCGCATTCTTGGTACTAAACGCGCTTTTCATACCATTTACATGGAACCGATTAAAGAGCCGTTTTTTACAGCTGTAAAACGCATCAACCTGAAGCCTCAGCTGTCCAAAATCCCGATGTACTCTACGGTAAAAGGCGAAGTTCTGTCGGACCAGCAGTTTAACGGTGGCTATTAGTGGCAAAATATTCGCTTCTTCTAAATGCATCGTGGTGGGGCGTGAGTAGTCCAGTGGTCAGTGCGCTGGACTCTGGGTCGGTTGGCCCGGGTTCAAGTCGTGGCTGGGGCATGACGTTGTGTCCTCAAGCAAGATGCTTCACTCACATTGCTTCGTCTTCTCAGATAAGACGTAAAGTGGTCAGTGCGCTGGACTCTGGGTCGGTTGGCCCGGGTTCAAGTCGTGGCTGGGGCATGACGTTGTGTCCTTAAGCAAGACGCTTCACTCACATTGCTTCGTCTTCTCAGATAAGACGTAAAGCCGTAGGTCCCGTCTACTGCAGGGTTAGAGGCAGGAGACGTCAATTTTCTATGCACGAGATTACTGTGTAGTAGATGTCCTCCCCGGGCTGGGATGGGTGGGAAGGTGAGATCGCTACATGAATTGAAGCGGCTGCCAGAGGCGCCTGATAAATAAGCTGACGTCCGATCTCAGCCTTACGTTACTGTTAAGCGCGACTGAAAATATCCACATAGAAGTCTGCGCTATATAAATGTAAAAACGAGGAGGCGGCATGGCCGAGTGGATCGGGTGTTGGACTTGTAATCCGGTGTCCCGGGTTCAAATCCTCAATCCTGCCACTCACTGGATTTGTTCTCGGTAGCCCTTAGTTCAAATCCTCGGCTGCGCTCTGTAAATAGCCCACTGATCTACCTCCTGCTTCAATTTACGTATTTAATTCTTTATTTATCTAAATGTAAATGTAAAATAATGTTCTGAGGATGTTAACAAATCTCGACGCACTTCATTACAAAGAATAAAAGGATTGCCATTTCAGGCCTTTTCACTTGCTACGAAGTTTTCCCAAAGGGTCCTCCACTTCACTGTAAACTTGGAATGATATCAAAATGACGGAATTTTTCCAGACACATTTATAGTTAAATGCTTCGATTTCAACTACGTATCCATTGATGGCTGTTATGTATGCTCTATTTTTAATCTAAAATGTTTAAATCATCTTATTTGCAGATATTTCTGCATCTACGCTGCCCTGACGGTAACGTCATCATTCCTAATCATTGTCACCTTTTTTGTGGCCATAATGACCTATGACGTAAGAAGAATTAAATCTGGTCGCAGAGATTGCTTCCCATGCTGCATGGCACTGCGACCCAAAGATGGAGAGCCAGCCTTGGAGGAGCCCATTTGAAAATTCTTGATGTTTCCAGCAACAAAAAGCGTGGTTATAATTATCTTTCTGGGGCTGCTTGGAGCTGGGATTTATGGAGTTACCCATGTAGACGAGGCGTTTAAGAGAAGAATTCTAGCAAAGGATGACTCTTACTTGAAACAGTTTTTGACCACTCAAGAAAAACAGTTTGAACTTTCTGTTGCCGTGAGCATCGTGGAGACTGGCGTGATAGATTATGAGAAATATTCCACTCACGAAAACATCAGAGCACTGACAAACATCGTGACGGAAAACAAATACTACAGAGACCGTTTGTTATCTTGGATGGATACATTCTCCCTCTACGCTGAACAAACCTATGAGAGCATCACTGGCCCAAACTTCTTGCCTGCCCTGAGAGAATTCCTTCGCATTCCAGCCTTTTCTCATTTCAGTCAAGATTTGAAGTTTACCGAGGATGGCAGTAAATTGGAAGCTTCTCGTATCTTTGGGTTTATGAAAACTACCAGCGGCTCCACCACTCAGAAAAACGCTATGCTCACACTTTATGAAGATATCACAGAAAAGTCGGAACTGGATGCCTTTCCAATTAATCGACTCTTCATATACTTTGAGCGGTAGGCCATTACCTCCAGGGAAACCGTAAGGAATCTTACAATCGCAGCCATAGCAGTACTTCTTGTCACTAGTCCCTTTTTGTAGGGCTGTACGGTTACATTCCTTGTGGTGCTGAACTTTGCGGCCCTGATATGCGAGTTGTTTGGACTGATGGTCATCTGGAATGTTTTCCTTAACTCTGTTTCTATGATTAACCTCGTTATGGCCATTAAATTTGCAGTCGATTACAGTGCACATATCGCGCATGCGTACATAACGTCAAACGAGGCAACAGTCAATGAACGAGTAGTAGATGCCTTGAGTAAATTAGGAGCAAGTGTAGTCATGGGGGGCTCGTTAAGTGTGCATTCCAGTTTGTTTTTTCGTTTTTAATTCGCACATTTTAGACTCGCTGATGCAGTTTTCTCATATGAATATTCTGTTGTGAGTACATCACATCGAGGGACAACCACAGATTCTACGTTTAAAAAAACTATTTGTTTAATTATTTTCCAAATTTTCTTTTGAATCGAGTTTCCTCCAGACTGTAAAAACCCGATGACCATTTTTTCAGCACTCTAACATTGTTTTATTTGTTTTCTGTGCTTTATTTACTTGTTGTTTAGGATTCAGTACCTTCCTTGGCATGGTCGTTCTTGCATTTGCCGCATCACAGATGTTCCGAATATTCTTCAAAATGTTCTTCGGCGTCGTTGTGCTTGGTCTTCCCCATGGCTTGTGTATCTTGCCTGTTCATCTGTCCTTGCTGTGCTGGAGACCAGCTCTTGAAATCAGACCTCGCTCATTTGAGGACACTTCCAAGAAACAAGGAAATAAATGCAGCAGAGTGGATGCAGTCTGCGCTCCTGAATCTAGAATGGATGAATGTGACAGGGAAACAAACGTCTAATAAAAGGGCCTAAGGCCTTGCAGGATTCTATACTATAAAATTGCTCACTTAGCTAATTAATACGTATGATGCACGATCCTCGCAGTAAAGCTAATTAAGCCAACTAAATGACTTTTAACCTCGAGAAGACAAGTTTTCAACTGAGACATGGAATCGGGCATTCAAGCAATTGAAAAGCTGATTGAGTGTCGTAAAACCTTAGCCAAAGTAACGTAGAGACTTAACAAAATTTTTTGTCAAGTGGAGCCAATGGGGACCCAAAATACCATATCTAACGCGGGAAGAAGCGTGTGGAGATGTCGCCATTGCTTTCAGGTGTTTGTCGAAACTCGATTGAAGATAACTCCCCGATCCCTACCTTGATTTAGTGAACTCGTCAAGGCAGTTTTTCACTTTCGGCCGTGGGAAGCATGAGATCGATTTGTAGCGTAAAAGGCGTGCAGAAATATTAAAAATGTATAACCGCTCTGAAGTTCGAAAAGCTCTATAATAATTTTTAAAATGTGATTGACGTAGTACGCGCACTCTCACTGGTCAATCAGGGCCGAGAGAGGATCTTTGTTGCTCG